TGCATCACTAATATATATATATATATATATATATATATATATATAATCGGTGCATTTTATGCATTGGTGCATTTGGTGCATCATATATATATAACATTGTAAATCAACTAAATATATATAAATATTATATTTTCTAACTTAATCTGATATTTCAAATGCATGCAAATAATTTCAGTTTCACTTCTTATACTGTTGTCACTTCCAGCTCTATTGACCACTGAATCATCATCATAGTAGAGGTCATTCCAGGAGAAGGAAATTCCAGATGTCTGCACACATAGACACTAGAAGCACATGAGCCAGTCCTGTGTGTGCGTCAAGCATTTTGTAACGCTCAAACATGATTTTCAAAGATGACACAACATACAGTGATTGCAAAAGCACTGACATCTGGATTATACCTGACTGATAATGTCACACCTGGAGAAGTGGGTTATGACCTGAGAAGATCAGACAATAAATCAATGAATAGCTGCAAATTCAGACTCTTGCACTCTCAAGCACACAAGAATATAAAAATAAAATGAGAATATTGCACAAAAGAGGTCTTCCCAAAGAAGAACTATCATACCAAAAAAAAAATATATATATATATATATATATGATAAAATACGAATAGAAATACGAATAGAATATATGATGAATATAAAGTTCAAAAGAATAGCATTTATTTGAAATAGAAATCTTTTGTAACATTATAAATGTCTTTACTGTCACTTTTGATCATTATAGTGCACCCTTGTTAAATAAAAAATGAATGGTAGTGTATTTATAAAACTGATACATCCAATTTTAGGATTCAAAACATTATCATTTGTTAGTTTAATCTACCATTCCCTGCTGCTATGGCCTTAAAATCCTCTAAGAGTGAGAGAAAACACAGACAAAGTGGGTATAGAAAAGAATCACTGAGTTGGAAAAAGGATCACCCCACTGTGTCAGTATTTTATTGAACCACCTTTTGCTTTAGTTAAAGCCTTTAGTCTGTTGGGATTTGTCTCTACTAGCTTTACACATCTAGACTTCCACTCTTCTTTGCAGAACTGTTTAGTTCAGTTCAATTTGGTGGTGAGTGTCTGTGGACTGCAGTCTTCAAGTCATTCCACAGATTTTTTAGTGGGGTTTTGGACTCTGACGAGGCCATGCAAGGACATTCACCTTTTTCTCCTTCAACCACTGTGTGCTCAGTTTTGTCATGTTGGACAGTAAACCTTCTTCCCATTGACAACTTTCTGGCAGAGGGCAGCAGATTTTCCTCAAATTAGACTTCACTGTGCTTCTAGGCATTGATAAAGTCTTTTTTGTATCCATCTCCTGACTTGTGCCTGTCCACAACTTTAACCCGGAGATCTTTTGACAGTGCCTTGCCACCCATAATTGATTGTTTGCTTCAGTTGCACTACCAAGAATGGAATTAAATTCTTATATATTATATAGTGTAACAAAGCAGTGCTCACGATGACATGCAGTTTTTTTCAGCATACCAAATGTATGCGGTTTATTTGAAAGAACTGTATGTTCATCTTGACAAGCACAAAGGTGTCTTAGATTATAGACTTTCCTGTTTTACATACTAACGCTGACTTCCTCATATCTGTTTTGTTGACAGTCTAAAAAGATTATATAGTCATCATTATTCAGTCATGTTTAGTCTTGCACTTCATGTTCCCAGGCTTATAGGGTTCATGATGAGATGAGCTTCTGGATGAATAAACACTGACCAGTTCAAGTCGGAAATGAACAATTATGTGTATGGTACCAATGGTTTACAGTTAATCATTTGCAACAATTCATTTATTAGATTAACAATGGAAGAACACAGTGAAGATATTTTTTTCCACACATATGCTGCATGTGTTTGTGCTTAATCTCACAGGTGTATGGATCAAACTGAAGGCAAATTTGTGTCAGTTTTGGTCTGCAGAAACCACTCAATGAGTTTCTACATGCTATAAATGCATTGTGTATTTTCACAATACAAATATGTAATATACACATTTTATACTTAATACGTCCTTACAGATATACTCTATTGCCATATATAAGGATCATATATTTCTTTGTCTTTCGTATCAATGACAGTTTATAGAAAAGGAAGTGTAAATACTGATATAGTCGGGTTATACAACACCTGCTTCTCATGAAAAGAGAAGCGGGCTGTTTTTATTTCCTCCTTTTATTGTTTTGATTTGATGATTAAAGATACCTTACCACTGGTTGTTACAGCAAGACACTTAAACAGGAGTACAGGAATCTTTAACAGGCTGAGGATAAATGTTTGCTATATTGTAATATAAATATAAAATTTGATCAGATGGGTGTCTGGTTTTCTTGGCTTCAATGCAAGTCTACTCATATATGGCTAACCTAAGACTGTGACAACTTTGGTCACATTTGTTAAGCTGATAAGTGCACAACCAGTACAATCACCATTAAATATCATAAAACCTTAATAATTGCATTTGCCATATTGAAAAAAAGAGACCTATACACTCACAAAAAAAAAAAAGGTACAAAAGCTGTCATTGGGGCAGTACCTTTTCAAAAGGCACACCTTTGTACCTAAAGAGTCCATATTGGTACCTTAAAGGTACATATAAGTACCTAAAGTGTACATCTTAGTACCTAAATGGTACAAAAGTGTACCTTTTGAAAAGGTACCGCCCCAGTGACAGCTTTTGTACCTTTTTTTTCTAGGAGTGTACTGCTTAAGTTTGAAACATACAGTATATGACCATTTATTGAGTAACAGTTCAATATTATGTGATACTACGTAGAAAAAGCATGAACCCACATCAAAATATAGTAGTAAACACTGTTATGAGGAATATAGGCCTACTATTACAGCTATGAATATTATTTATTTATTTTATTTATTTAGTCATTTAGCAGACGCTTTTATCCAAAGCGACTTACAAATGAGGATACTTATAAATATTATGTTGGTTATTTCTTATTGTCAGCTTACACTATTCAGACATTTGGGGTCAGTAATAGTTATCCAGCAAGGATGCATTACATTAATGTAAAGTGACAGTAAAGACATTTATAATGTTAAAATAATCTATTAGAATTAGAAAGTGCTAATTAGAAAGGTGTGGACAGGTGTATTTAATACCTGCCCGACTCAACCGAGCAACAACAACGACAAGGCACAGTAGTATCTTTTCCTTATTCTACTTCCCTTCCTTTCCTTTCTCCACCACTTTCAGCATGTGCTTCCATTATATTCCTGTCCTCTCTCAATGGAAACATTCTTACACAACACGCAGGAGACGGAGCAATCGTGCTAACCTGTGTCCTATCCACACTTCTGTCGCACCCCTTTCTTTTTCTATGGGCCTCTGGAATTGTCAGTTAGCTGTCAACAAAGCTGATTTTATTCCAGTCTTTGCTACTCAGTCAGCTCTCAGTCTCTTGGGCTTGACCGAGACCTGGATTAAACCTGAAGACACAGCAACCCCTGCTGCTCTCTCCAACAACTTCTTTCACCCACACCCCCCCGTCAGGTTGGGAGAGGTGGGGGTACTGGTGTCCTCATTTCCAAAAGCTGGACATTTCTCACATGCTCTTTAACTTTAACAATACTTCGTTTGAATTTCATGCTGTTATAGAGTCACACTCCCTGTAAAAATCCACATTGTAGTTATTTATCGCCCTCCAGGTCAGCTGGGCAACTTTCTGGATGTGCTACTGTCCTCATTCACTGAGGTTGGCAGCCCTCTGGTACTTTTTGGTGACTTCAACATCCACCTTGAGAAGCCACTTTCTTCCTATCCTCTTTCGATCTTCGGCAGCTCAACACCACATGTACTTATAAATCAGGTAACCAGCTCGACCTCATCTTTACATGGAATTGTATCACAGATAACATCTTGGTCAAACACTACCATGTCTCGAATCATCTCATTATTACTTTTAGTCTAGATCTACCCATGCTGATGACACGCAGCTCTCATTTCAGCCAGATGATCTAACGGTACCAACTCAGATCTTAACTTGTTCACTTGTTGTATTCCTCAACTGTAAGTCGCTTTTGATAAAAGCATCTGCCAAATTAATAAATGTAAAATTAATAAGAAATGTTTCATTTTTACTGATATTTTCAGCATATTATACTGATTTCTGAAGGATCATGTAACACTGAAGACTGGAGTAATGATGCTGAAAACTCCTTTTCTACTACTTTTGTTTTTTA